AACAAGATCTAATACTTTGCCAAACTTATTGCGAAGTACATTAACTTGATTCAGGCAGAGTTCAGCCATCTCCTCTAAAAATACGTTGTTGCACGCGCTAGACGAGAAAGGTACAATATCATTGTCAATGATGTTCCATGATACATTTGGTAAATTAAAGTCACCCAACACAATCAATGAATCAGAGGGTTTAATCATTGAATTAATTGATTTCAGTAAAGATACATGTTGTGAATACACTGATAAGTCAGATCGGGGAGGAATATAGCATAGAGCTAAGTAAGTAAACCCCCTTCCAACCTGAACACGAATGCATTTGAATTCTGCAGATTCAATGTGTGGAAGACTAACTTCTTCAGATGGTATTGAAGAGTCTACGGCAAAGAGTACGCCACCGCCGACTCTGTCCTCCCGATCTTTTCTGTAGATATGATAATTATTTGAAAGAATCTCTGAATTAAAAGTGTGAGGTTTGAGCCAAGTTTCAGTCAAAGAAATTATATTATAATTGCATTCAAGGCCATTAAGATATAAATTCGTTAATTTAGTATTTATGCCTCTTACGTTTTGATAATAAATACTTAAAGCAGATTTAGTAATCAGTTTTTTGGTTCTGTATTCTGACGGGGAATATTTGCTAAATTATTATTTTTGTTGGGCCTATACTCAAATTCACGAACGAAAGCTCCGGAGGGCCAAAAAGAACTACTAAGCAGCATGTCAAAATTTTCTAAATTTACGTCTATTTTAAATGAAGAAATATTTCTTTCATATTTAAAATTAAATTTTCTGATACTTAAGTTGACAGTTTTAACTTTGGACGAGATGTAAAACTTTATATCGTCCTCGGAAGGATCCCTCGAAAATCTAGATACAAATATAGACTTCTTTGGGGGAACCACAACCAGTCTCCTAGTATCAGACTCGATTACCGGCGGACGGGGTTGAGTAACTGAGTTACTAATTGAGGGTAGAGTAAGCGTTGGAAGATAAGATGGCGGTGCCACAACTTCAACGGGGGACGGGGAAGATACTGCAGGGTCGTTATTATTAGAAGCAGACTTTGATATATGTTCTTTTCAGGAAGATAACTCCGTTGTCTGTGGACATGGAGAAGAAAGATTAATTAAGTCATTCGGAAGATTGTTCGGACGTGGAACGGTCCTTTCATTAGGCGGACTATGAAGACGCTTACGTTTTGACACATGAATGTCCCTTCATAGATTGTACGGTATCTAAGCATTTAAAAGATTTAAATACATTTTCGTAATGTTTAAATTTTTCGGTCAGTACCGACAACTCTCTCCCTACCTCAGAAAACCCATTTCTGGTTTGCCTAAACAACTTAAAGAGATCAACTTCGGTTGACCTGCACTTTAAGCAAGACCAGCGAAGACCTTTGCCATCATTAATAGCGTCCAGAATTCTTCCTGTCAAACCAGCACATTTTAGATGGCAAATACCATCACAGAGCCAGCACGATAAGTAGCGTTCATATTCGCTTTTGATTTGGCAGTTATCAAGATCTCACTTCATATTGAAAGATTTAATAACACTTATGTTAATAAAAAGACAAGCAAAATAAGTTTAATACAACACACACAACAATTAGGAGCTGATGTATTTAGCTTAAAAATATATGTAGCGAACAGTTTGAGTATCGCTGTAATGTGACACTTAATAAACGCAGCGCAAACAGCTGTGACAAGAAATACTAAACGAAGTAAACAAAAAGAGCAAAAAGAAATGTGCAAAAATAGAAACGATCTCAGTTAACTACAAAGGAATAACAACAACAATGATAACAACAAATGACTCGGCAAGATTAGATGTAAGCTAGTGAAATTTAATTAAATTTAATAAAAACCACAAAAATCACAAAACTTTCACTTAGCTTAGGTTATTATCACACTAAGATGCTCGTAGGCACTTTTTATAGCAACTTTTACTCAAAATTAGCACAATAAACTTTGCAAAATACAAAGACCAATCAAGGCACAAATAAGTAGAACTTCACAGCTTGACGTTTGCGGTATGACGTTTAAGTGTTTATAATTAAAAAAATTAAAAACCAAATTAAACTGCGAAAGCTTGAGTTGGAACTAGAGCGTTTCTAATTTGGAAATAGAAAAAAGTTTTAAAATGTTTATTTTTTTGGTAAATTGTTTATTATTTAATTCAAAACTCGTTTTAAGTAAATAGGTGTAATTTTATTCGCAATTTCGTATCCAATTTTTTGTGCTTCACTTTTTATATAAATTTCTGTTGGTGCAAATCTATCTACTGCACTATCTACATACATACTTCGCTATCGTTTTCTTCAACTTCTTTATAGTCAAATTCAGGACTGTAGTGGCGAAATATGTTATGCAGGCAACACATATGTACATTAGACTGCAGCACCAAAAAAAGTTGCGGTTTTCCCGCCGGAATTACAAAATTTATTATATTTTAAGACGTCCACCAAAATATTTCGGAAAAAT